AGCAGAGACTCAACCAACATGTGGGAGTTAAGTTGTATACCTGGTAGGGACAAGTACTAAGCTTTACTCAACCGCACACTCTGTCCTACAGAAGGAGGAGGCGTGTAGCTGGGCTGAGGACATAAGGGTTTTCCAAGGGGCCTGTTCAGCTATTACAGGCCAGTCTCCACCTATGTTAAATGTACTGTAGAGCAGGACAAGAGGGAAACCGAAGAGACTGAAGGATCAGGGAGGACGGAAAGGATCTTGAATGGATTTGCAACTCAAACAGAGCTCTTTGAAGGAAAGCTATTTAAATCTGAGCTGCTCCTAATATTAATTATCCTGAACATCTCACAGGCTCAGATTCACATGCTACAAAGCCTTTTAACTTTCCTACCTGTCCCTGGCACTAGTGACGATAAATCAGATATACAGAGAAACCACAAAAAAACCACACATGACTAACGAACCAGCCCGTTAATGGGGAGCAAAGATCATTTGCCAAGATGACTTATTCAGACACTGTCACATATCATAACCAGCAATACCCTGGCGGCTGAATGCAGCAGGCACAGAGGGCAAGAACTGGGGCACTCCCTGCCAAATCACAGGCACCCTTCGATGCCTGCTATCTAGGCATGAGAGATTTTACTCATGGGTGCCACCTCCACTCCCTCAAGTCAGATTTGCCCTTGGAAAATTGCTGCAACTTCTGAAAGGCCTGCTGGGTCACTGAGCTGCTGAGCTTCTAAACCTGACTATAGCTCTTACTTTGAGGCTCCTTGGAATTCCAGGTACCCTGAGGGAGAAGACCCAGCCTCGGCCACTAGCAACCTTAACTGTTAGTTTATACATCTTTAATGTAGCCATTCATTCAAGTATCTGAGTTCCAACTAAATGTCAGACCCTATTCTAGGTGCTTGGGCAAATCCATAAACAAAACAGTAAAGAGGTGGAAGTGGAGGAGACAGAAGGGTCCCCTAAATGACAACCTCTTGGTTTTACCATGAAGACTGAGGTCCAGTAATAAACAGGAATTTCCAGTCAGAGTTGATGGAACAGCTACGACTTGACCCAGCTTGGATTCTTAACAGAACTGCGGCATACAGTGGTTTATAAGAACACTGGGCCAATAGCACAGGGAAGGTGGGGAAATTCAATCCACATTTTCCTCACCCAGCCCTGCACTCTGGAGTGGTGCTGGTGCTGCATCTGACCAGAGGAAGGAGCCCTTTCTGTGGTTTGTTTGAAAACACCATATGGTCAAGGGCAAGTTCCAACGCGTTCTCAGTGCCCCAGCCAGCCTAATTCCCTTTTATAACAAGCCCCCTTCACTGGAAGGAACAGGTTCCCCAGAACAACAACCAAGCACTGGCCGTGCGCGGAGGCTCGTGCCTGTAATCTCAGCACTTTGGGAGGCTGAGGCGAGCGGATCACCTGAGGTCAGGAGATCGAGACCAGCCTGGCCAACACAGCAAAACCCCGTTTCTACTAAAAATACAAAAATTAGCCAGGCATGGTGGGGCACCTGTAATCCCAGTTACTTGGGAGGTTAAGTCATGAGAATCACTTGAACCTGGAACCTGGGAGGCGGAGGCTGCAGTGAGCCAAGACCACACCACTGCACTGCAGCCTCGGCGACAGAGCAAGACTCCGCCTTAAAAAACAAAACAAAACAAACACAAACACAAACAACAACAAAAACACAACCAAGAATCATGGGGAGGACCCAGGGCAGTCTGAATTCTTCCACTGAGATATAACCCGAAAAAGCTGTACATTTCCATGTGTGAGACAAGTTTGTTTGAACTTGAATCCATAGGAAACCCGCCTATGAATGACATCCCCCATTTCCTATATTATCCTCAGATCTGAAAGGCAAGGCTACTACCAAGCCTTCACCCCTTTACATTCTAGCCAACACCTTTACTCTTCATGATTCCAAGCTGAGGGTAATGGGAATAATTAACTTAATCAACAGCCTGAATGTCTACTCTTGGCTAGGTGCCAGACAGAGATACAGCAGTGAATATCACGACCCCATCAACACCACCACTACCACCACACCATTGTCCCTGACTTCCAGTACAAGATATCTCAAAACAGAGTTCAGAAAGCCCAGCTGCTATGGAGTCCCTGACCAGACTGGCAGCTCACTTAGGGGCCAGGGCCAGAAGCAAGAGGGTCTATAACCAGCTTATTCTCCTCTCCCTCATCCCATTGTACAAGAAGGTCCAGGAAGGAGAGGTGGCTTGCCCAAAGTCAGACAGTTGAGAGTGAGCTGAAACTCCAACCCATGTTCTGTGGGTCTCCCCTCTCCACCACATTGCTTTTGCCAAGGTTCCAAAATTGGAAAGTGAGGAAAAATAGTTGATTCTAGTGACAGAGTGTTTCCTGACGTATGCATGTCCAGAACCTGCAGCCTCAACCATCTTATCAACACAGACCTGGTGACCATGTCCATCTCTCGGGATGCTCATGAATACACGGTGTTGATCCAGAGTCCAAGCGTCCAGTTTTTCACTCATGCTCATTTATCACCCTCTCTGACTCTCTCCTGATATTTACTTTCACTTTAAAATCTTATAAGAACAGGGCCTTTTTTAATCTGATGCCAGCTCCCCCTCTGTTCCTTGGATTTAATCAATCCATGTCTGGAAATAAACAAACCAGAGAGGAAAGCAACAGTCCCTTTTGTGAAAACAGGCACCTTTCTAAAATGATCTACCCCTGGGCATGACGCAGATAGAATTTAAATGTGAAGGAAATAAAGACATCCTCCAGCAACCATCATATGCGTTCTTCCTGGGGTGGGACAGCAGGAATGGTAACTGTGTTAACAACCAAACCAAAAACCACTCTACATCTTTCGGGTTGTAATGGGAGCGTGGTCAGTGGCAGGAAGCCTGAAGAGTCAATAGCTTTCAAAACACAGAAACCAGTCCTCTCCATTCTGAGAAGCTTAAGGTCTTCAAGATTAGTAAGAGAGGGCTAGCTGAACACTAACTCCAAGTACATGCAGCATGCCTCCAGCTAGTACCAGGGGGTGCAGGAAGATGCCAGCTAGAAAGATCCAGACATCCGGCCACCAACTTAGACCTTCTCCCATCACATTATTTTATACCCGCCTGCAAAGCACAGAATCCTCACCCCTCTTACCGCCCTCCAGTCACTCCAGCAAGCATCATCCAAGACTCTGCTGGCAAAAGAAACTGTCTTACACAGAGAGGGAAAATCAAGTTCCCTACTAGCCAGCCCGCCCTTCTTGCCGTGACTCCCAGCCCTAGGCATTCGGAAATGGACCACCATCTAAGTGCAAACACAGAGAGTATCTCTTCTGAGGAGGACGGTAGTTAATTCTTAACCCTTTGGGCAGTTTGAAAATCCGATAGCACCTCTGGATGCCCCATGAAAAACAGCATGCATGCAATTTATATGTAATTTCCCGGGGGTCACTGCCCTCCTAGGAGGCCGAGAGGGGCAAAAAGAGCCACTGTGCTCAGAAGCAGCTTTGAGAAAGAGCTATGGGTGGTGCTTTTGAGTATTCAACAGCTTAGTTCCTTAACAAGAAAGGGAGAAATTAATGCCCCTTACTTAGCTACTGCACGTTCCAGCTTTCAATCAACCTGAGATTTCAACAGGAATCTGGAAACTGAGAGCACACAAACATGCACACACACACACACATACACACCAAGCACTCACTCAGCTTCCTTGTGGCTTCCTATTGTAACTTCACAAAATATCCTGTGATTGCTAGTTAAGTCTCCAAACAAAGTAACAGCAGAGATAAAAAGTGGAAGAGAGGTGGGTGCTGGAAGGGAGAATAGTTCAGACAAGGAGAAGGGGATAATCTGGCTAAGCTCTCCATCGGCTCTGAGCAGGTCTTGACAGAGCAGGTCCTGATCCTTGCTGCCTGCTCTTCCTGGAAATCAGGGCCGACCTGCTGACTTCTTTGCAGCAAATCAAAAGTCCAGGCAAAAGCAGCCCTTTCTTTCCTTTGAGTCCATGGGGAGGGGAGAGCATCTAGGGAGGAGAGCATCTACGGAGGAGACCCTGGCCCACAGCTTGCCCACGGCCCCCTCGTGGCCTGGGGGTGTCACTGCAGCCCCCTCTGCATTGCTGGGCACCATCCGCACGCAGGCAGTTCTAACAGTGGTCCAGCAGAATATTTAGTCAGCAGTAGCAAACTGGCAACTGTCTTCAAGCCTTGTGAGGCTTGTGTTTGCTTCTGATTTCTTAAACTAAGATTCAGACTTAAAGTGATCCTTCTAAATCCCTCCTCGTACAATCCCTACAGGGAACCAGCTCAAGACCTGCTTCATTAAGCCAATAACCTCGGAGCTTCCGTAACATGACCACTGCTTTATCATCTCTTCCTGCATCACATGCAATTATGTACAATCGTGTACAATTGTTCCAAAGCTCAATAGAAACAGAATGCACAATATCCTCTGGTTTGTAGGTTGCTTACTAGATTACAAAATATTTGCAGGACACCAAATATCCCCTTAAATCCTGGGTTTTCAGGTAAGCAGGTCCTACAGGGGTTTTGGACTTAAGATTACACAGTGAAAAAGAATGGAACCAGTGACTCTGTGTCCATAAATGCAAAAAGCGGGTGCACTAAGAAACCTGAACTCCTCTCTCATTAGCAACTCCGCAAAGGGAAGGAGTGGGGCTCACTGGGGCTGGAGGTTGGACAGGACAGACCAGAGTCTGGGAGTGAGGGGGCAGTTGGTCTAGGGGTTCAGCTGCCATCTGTCATGGTGGGGACGATTCACTGACCCGAGTGGTGGGAAACTGTGTAGGGAGGAGAGAAGGTGGGACACTTGGGAGGAAAGGGGAAGGTGCAAAGTGTAGTCTGCAGGGCCATAAGTAGACCCGGGACCAGGAGTGACTGAGGCAAGGGAAAGGGGTGGGAGCACCGGGACCAGGAGTGACTGAGGCAAGGGAAAGAGGATCTTCTCCTTAGTGGGGGCAATTGGTGGGAAGAATTGTGGGGGCTGAGTTCATACCTCCTTGACTTTCTCCCGCTGGGCTCGCACTCGGCTCTGGGGCTCCTGACTCTCATCCGCCCTCATTCCCAGGACCGGGTGGCGGAGGCGGCTCCGGAATGCGTTGAAGTCAAAGTGGAAAGAGATGCCCTCGTCCCCGGGCCTGGAGGCCGGGATGCTATTGCCCCGGGCCGCCGTGGCCTCCTCGCGGGGCCCGGTGGGGCGGGTGCGCCGCAGCCCCCCTTTCCTGCGGCGGGGACTGGCCCGGCTGCTGGGGTCATCCTCGCCCGGGGCCGGCGCGGCAGGGGCCGGGTTGGGAGGCGGCTCCTGCTCGCGGGCTGGGGCATGGCCGGCGATTTCGGCCACCACCTCCAGGCCAGGCTGCTGGGTCCGGGGGGCCAGGAAGAGGCGCTTGAGGCGAGAGGAGTGGGGCAGCAGGAAGAGGGCCCCGAAGCACAGGGTGACGAGGCCCGAGAGGAAGAGGAGGAAGAGGAACTTCTGCGGCAGCCGCAGCCCCCACGGGGAGGCCGGGACGAAGCCGGGCACTTTCCTCATGAGCATCTTGGCCGGGCCGGGGGCTCCAGAGGCCCTCGGAGTCCAGGCACGTGTCTGCGGGGCCGCGGTGAGGAGAGGGCGTCCGGAGCGCCGCCCGGGATGGGGATCCCTGGGCAGGGCTGCCAACCCTGAGAGTTTCGCCGCTTCGGGGGACTGTCCCCGAAGTTCAGGGAGTTTGGAGTGAGTCCTCCCGCGAGGAGGCGGGGGCGCAGCGGCCTCGGCGGGGCCCGGGCGAGCGGAGCGGCACGGCTCGGGGCCCGGGCCCGCAGCGACCGGCCGCGCGCCGCAGCCTCCCCTCCGGCCGAGCCCTCCCCGCCGCGCCGGGGCCCGCGCCTTCCCGCGCTGCGGCCTCCGGGGCCGTCACATGCCGTCCGCGGCGTCCCGGCTGTCCGCGCCGAGGGGCGCCCGCAGGCCCGCACCGAGCCGCCCTCCGCCCCCCGGGCTCCCGCCTGCGCTGGTCGGCGCCCAAAGTTTCAGCTTCAGAAGCAGTTTCCGGAGGGGACCGAGGTGATGGGGGGCTGGCGTGTCAGCGCCGCCCCGAGCGCGCGCACACCCAGCCCGGTCGCGACAGCGCCCGGTTCGACTATCGGGACACGTCCACAACTTTCTCCGCCGCCGAGCGGGCGCCGGGAGCGGCCAGGGAGCAGGAGAAGGCACTTCCGAGCCTGCGGGGGTAGGGGGCTTCCCCGGACCCCCGAGAGCGCAGGGATGCCCGAGTCCGGAGCCGCGGCTGAGCGGCTGCAGCTGCGCCCGGGAGCGCGGGCTCCCGCCCCTCCAACTCGGTAGGGCGCGGGGCTCCCGCTGGGATCACCTGTTCCGGGCCCCGCCGGCTCCGCGGAGCGCGCAGCCCCGGCCGCGCCTCCCCCGCTGCAGCTGTCGTCCTCGCAGCGACCGCTCCAGACGGGCCGCCGCCGCCGAGCCTGCGCCCCACACGCGCGCACAGCCGCCGGGCAGCCTCCGCCGCCGTCCCCGCCGCCGCCGCCGCTCCGGCTTTCACTGCGACAGCGCTCGCCGCCCCGCCTCCTGCCGCTCGCCAGCCACGCCCGCCGGCCACGCCCACGCGCGCGCCCCGCGCCCCCTCCCGCCGCCGCCGCGCCGCAGAGGGGCTGAGGGCCGCGCGTCCGGGGGCGGGGCAGAGGCAGAGCGCGGGCGGGAGCGCAGCCCGGCTCCAAGCCCCGCCCTCCCCCAAAGGCCGGCGTCGCGCGCACCCCCGATCCCGCCGGCGCCAATGGTCCAGCGGCGGGGGGCTGGCGAGGGCGGGGGCGGAGAGCGCAGCGAGGGCATTGGCTGCATCCGAGGGATCCCCGTTGGGCCACAGTCGCCTATTGGTTACTGCCCAGTCTTCGCTGGACCCCGAGCGACCGAGACCACCCCTCAACCCGCCCGCGAGGCTCGGGTTGGTGGCCCCCGGAAGCGGGCCGGAGACAGTGCTGCTCTGGAGGGCTGTGCCCGTCGCTGGGTGACCTCTTTCGCCCCCCAGTGTCAGTCCGGGGTTGTCAGGGAGCTGGCAGCCCGCGCCCTGGCGGCTGCCCCGGGCTTCTCAGCGCTAACGCCGAGCCGCGGCGATGCTGTTCGTGGCTGGAGCCAAGCCAGAGAGCTGTGACCGCGGCGGGGTCGGCGGAGGCGGTGTTTCCACTAACCCCCCGCAGACCACTGCGTGCCTTCCTTTTCCTACAACCCTAAACGGGGCCAGGGCCCCTGGGTGGAGCAGGGAGGGAGCCTGACCGCAGCCTTGAGAAGCAGCGAAAGGAAGAGCGCCCCGAGCGTGTCTACAGTAGACCACACACATCATGTGACGGACGTGTACCTTGATGCCTACGTGTGTTTATATGCACATGTGTGCGTCTGGGCATAGATCCATATGCACACAGAGACTGGCATGTGGGTGTGTACATGCACTCAAACATACACTTAATTTGGGTATGGACACCCAAGTGATTATACCACAGTATGCATAGACATATATGCAAATTAGCACAAACATGGACATGTGCACCCGCATACCCACATTCAGGCACCAGATACCTCCAAAAACAGCCGGGCATCAACTCCCAGACACGCGTGTCCTCAACCGCAAGGCCGTCACACCTTCCTCCTTGGACTTAGTCTCTGCATCTTCCCTTCCTGTTAAACCTAACCCAGGGTGAAGCAACATTGTGCTGTGTGGGTCTTTCATGCAAAACACTTTATAGAGACAACAGCAGAGGGAGAGACAAATTAAGAGGTTTGTAATAGGCAAGAGGGAAAATATCTACTTTCAACTGCCATTTAAAATGAAATGCAGCGTTGACGAGACAGAAAATACTGCAGGGAAGCCTTTCCCAACAGAAGAAGGGGGCCAGGCAGGCTCTCTCCTCGTAAATCTTGCTTCTTCCCTGAGGTCTGATGCGGATGGGCGGCTGGGACTCAGTCATCCTTCTACCTCTGGCCAGACAACTGACAGCAGACCCACCCTCGATGTTTAAATATCCCTGGCATGCAACTTTCTCTCAACTGAAAATGAAAGTGGGGTAACAGGTGCAAACATTTTGGTCACTGGAGATGACTAATCCTTCCCAATCCCACAAATACACGCAGCTTAAATATAAAATTCCAATTCAGATATTTCAATCTCTGGTGAGTTTGGTTGGCAGGTTGATGTGGAACCAGCTGTGCATGTCAGAGATAAGCATGTGACCCTTTTGGGTGCAGGAGCCCAGAGACCTGGCCTGGCCTCACCCATGTCGCCAACACCCAAGCATCGTCTCACTGGGTCTCAGTGCAGGAAAGGGCAGCCATGTGTTTGGAGAACCAGGCAGGGAGCCAGCATTCATTAGAGTCGTCATCTGCATTGTTCCTCATTGAGAGTGTAGGGGAATCACTGTTCAGTCCCCTGTGAAGGTAGGATCCAGGAAGGGAGAAGAGCAGAGCTGAATCTCAGAAGGAAATGTCTGTTTGAACTAGATGCTCACTGTGATATGACACTGACCAAACTCTGCTATGCTCCGTGAGCCAGGGTAGAAGTGGGACTGCAGCAAGACTGACGTGCCTTTCAAACTCAGGCTACGAAAACTAGAGGCCCCAGCAGGTAACTCCATTTCAAAGTGATGTGATGTTGGTGATCACACCAAGTTGTTGATACCATCACTTGCTAGGGAGATACCAGTCTCTCTCTAAAAAGCTTTCTGAAACCCTGGGTGTCCCCTTGCCCCACACCTCTAGCCCCCAGAGACCTCATACATCCCGTGGCTCTTCTCCCACTGACTTGTGACTATTGGCGTGCTTTCCCAAAGCAGGTGCTCCGTTCTTCACCATGGCTTGCTTACTTCTCTAACTCTCTAACTTATCTAACTGCCCAGGTCTTAATCACAATGCCTTCCACATGGGCACTGCGTTTGCTCAGTAAATGAATGAAGAAATGAGTGAGTAGATGCCCATTTCACAGATGTGGAAACTGAGGCTCAGGGAATGGAACAACAGTGAACTAACATTTTCTATGTGCCAAATACATATTGTCTCATTTACTTTCCAGAATAATCTTTGTGGTAGATAATTATTAACAGCCCCATTTTACAGATAAGAATACCAAGGAGACTTGGGATGAGTTATAAGTATCTATATTAGAGTTCTCCAGAACAACAGAACCAATAGGCTATATATAGATATATAAAAAGAGATTTATTATGAGAGATTGACTTCTGTGATTATGGAAGGCTGAGAAGTTCCACAGTCTGCCGTCTGCAATCTGGAGGTCTAAAAAACTGGTGGTGTAGTTCCAGTCCAAGCTAGGAGGCCTGATAGTGTAAATACCAGTCTGAGTCTGAAGACCCGAGAACCAGGGGAGCTGACGTCCAAGAACAGGAGAAGATGGATGTTCCAGCTCAAGCACAGAGCATGAATTTGCCATTCCTCTTCCTTTTTGTTCTGTTTGGGCCATCGGTGGATTGGATACTGCCCATCCACATTGGTAAGGGCAGATCTTCTTTACTCAATTTACTGATTAAATTACTAATCTCTTCCAGAAATTCCCTTACAGACACACCCAGAAGTGATGTTTTATCAGCTATGTAAGCATCCCTTAGCCCAGTCAAATTGACACACAAAATTAACCTTCACAGTATCTTTCTCAGTTTAATTCAGAAATTCAAACGGAACTGAGAACAGAAACAGCCATTTCTAAAAATCTATTTATTCTGTCAACAAATCTTTATTCAAATTAGATGCAAGATATTGCACTAGTTTTGGACACAAAGGTGAGCAAAGCATGGTCCCTTGTTACTATCGATTAATTCATTCAGTAAAAACTACTTATTGAACACCTGCTATGTGCCAGGTACAGAGAGGCAGGGGATACAGCCCTGTCACAGACGTGAAGCCTGCCTTCATGGAACTTCTTGTCTAAAAGGCAACAAACACAGACCAATCTGGCCCATCAGGAAGGGAACCCCCAGGCACCAGTGTTAGTGCTTCACTCACATCCTGTCTTACCCTCACAACAGCCCTCTCTGAGGTAGGTCTCAAGAACCCAGTTTAGCAGATGGGGAAATTGAGACTCAGGGTGTGACGTGACTTGTCCAAAGCCACATAGGGCAAATATGAGGGGAAATCAGGCCCATCTAATCACAGAATCTATGTGCTTTTTGTTAATGATATTAGCAACTACTAAGATTGATGGAGCACTTACTATGTGATTGAGCCCTTTTAAAAACATGTTAAAGACTAAACTGGCCAGGCACAGTAGCTCACGCCTATAATCTCAGCACTTTGGGAGGCCAAGGTGGGCAGATCACCTGAGGTCAGGAGTTCAAGACCAGCCTGGCCCACATGGGGAAATCCTGTCTCTACTAAAAATACAGAAATTAGCTGGGCATGGTGGCATGTGCCTGTAATCCCAGCTACTCAGGAGGCTGAGGCACAAGAATCACTTGAACCTGGGAGTTGGAGGCTATAGTGAGCCAAGATCATGCCACTGCTCTCTAGCCTTGGTGATACAGTGAGGCTCTGTCTCAAAAAAAATAATAATAATAATAACAAGACTAACTTATTTGATCCTTACAGCACCCCATGTGAGGGGTACCATTAAGCACAGAGATGTTAAGGAACTTACCCAAAGTCACACAGCTGGGAAGTGGCAGAAGAGAGATTTGAGCCCAGACAATCAGGATCCAGAGCCCTCTATGCCTGTCAGAGTCTACTGTCTCCCTCTTGTAATGCTGTGAGAGCAGGTTCTATAGGTAGTGAGAGCAAAGAAAGAGCACTGGCCTCAGGCA